GGCTGAGGCCGCTGTGAACACGCACCGCCGCCACGCGTGGTCTTTCTCGTAGGCTGCCCTGGCTGCGAGGCAGCTGTGGAGCCTGCAATGAAAAAGCCCCACAGACGTTCATCCCCGGGCTGGGAAGAGGGTCCTGCTTAGCCTCCCTCAGTCACGGAGAATGCAGAAGGCACGGCCATGGAGAAGAAACCACATTTCGTTAGGAGGGAGTTTCCTCCCAGGGAGGTGTCGTCCCTCTCCTTGGGGTTACTGCTTGCGGCTGTCCTGATCCTTAATGCCCTTCTCTACCTGTACCTCAACAAGTTTTATGTCTCTTCGGGACGTGCCGAAACGGACCCTGGCCTCTGCCCTTTCGGGTACTTCAAACTGGGAGCGGTGAAGAATTGTTCCCCGTGGCTCTCCTGCGAAGCCATCAATAGGGAAGTCAGGAAACTCAAGTGTGTTGGTGAAGGCGCTGTGAAAAAGGTGAGTTTGGTTTCCCGTTGTTCTCTCCGGTGGATAAAGAGCTTTCACTGTTTGCTGGCTAATTAATGCCCATACTGCTGTTATAATTATCCTTGCAGCAGCTAATTACTATAGACATCCAGAGGCATATGGCTACTGATAAGGTGCACAGAACTGGTATGAGAGCATGACTGGAGCCCTGGGCCGCCTCCCTGACACCGAATGACATCAGCTACACAAGCGAAATCACGGAGATCAGTGAAGCGCTTGTGGAGCATGGTACAATCGTGGCAGAGTAAGACTGGCTGGTTGGGTGGTATGAAATAGTTTAATTCATCTGCATTGCTCATTGCAAAGACAACTTAGGAAATCATGATGTAATTATGCCATCGGTGAGGGCTTGATGTGACAGGTACATGGCCCTACCTAAAGGCTTGACTGTGCCCGATGACTGCAGTTTGCCGTTGTGATTAAGCAGTTGCTCAGAGGTCAGCGGCAGCTGGTAGCAGTTGGTGGAAGAAGGCTCTCCATGTGTCTTACATGTCTCTTGTGTGTTCTCAGGTCTTTCTTTCTGAGTGGAAGGAAAACAAAGTGGTCCTTTCACAGCTCACCAACTCTGAGCTGAAGGAGGACTTTCTCCATGGACTGAAGATGCTGAAAGCACTTCAAAGCAAGCACGTTGTCCGTCTGCTTGGCTACTGTGAGCAGCAGTTCACAATCCTCACTGAATACCATCCTCTAGGCTCCCTGAGGGGCCTTAATGAAACTCTCCACATGCCCAAGTACAAGGGCATAAACACCTGGCATCGCAGGCTGATGCTTGCTATAGACTATGTGAGTGTCATTCGGTACCTGCACAGCAGCCCTCTGGGCACCTTAGTGATGTGCGACTCGAATGACCTGGACAAGGTCCTCTCTCAGTATCTCCTAACAAGTGACTTTCACATCCTGGTAAATGATTTGGACGCTTTGCCTCTTGTGAACAGGAGTGCTGGCAGGCTGGTGAAGTGTGGTCATCGGGAGCTCCGGGGCGAGTTTATAGCTCCTGAGCAGCGTTGGCCGTATGGAGAAGAGGTGCCATTTGAGGATGACCTCATGCCTCCCTATGACGAGAAAACAGACATCTGGAAAATCCCAGATGTCTCCAATTTTTTCTTGGGCCACGTTGAAGGAAGTGACATTGTGCGACTGCATTTGTTTGACATCCATGCAGCATGTAAGAAGGAGGACCCGGCTAAAAGGCCTTCTGCCCAAGAGGTTTTAGACACCTACAAGAAGGTTTTAACTCTGCTTATTCGGGAGGCAGCCATGCCTGGTACTAGGGAAATGTTATAGTGAATCATGAGACAAACAGCAGACTAAAGTTGACGTCCTTCCTATTTATTTAGCTTGCCTGAAGGGCAAAATCTCTGTCCACAGAACTGAGAACAACTGAACTTGTAACTTTTGATCTAAAAAAAATAAAATCCACCCACACTGGAGCTGTGCAAGCTTCTCATTGACATGTTTAATCTATCACTGGAAGAGGAGGGAGAGAAATGAAATCGTGTGGGTGCGGGGGGAAATTTGTTCCTTAAGAAAGAAAACTTTTTTTTTTCCCCCAACATTTACACAAAAACTCTTGTAAAAAATTATAGAAAAAGAGTAAAAATATTGGTCCATTTAAAGTGATTGGCAGATTACTGGAGAGCAGAGACAATGGCACATTCTCCACAAGCTTTGTGCTGTTCCCTGTGACTTTGGCCCATATTTTATCCATAAAGCCCTCACCCACGTCCCCCTGGAGTAAAAGCAGTGGTCACTCTGAAAGAAGTACCCCAGTTCACTTCAGATTTTGGTGAACCCCAAGGCCAAAGCCCCGAGGGCAGTCTCTCTGTGCAGAATTGCTAATAGGTTGCTTTCGGAGCCATATGGCCATTGCTCTGTGGGCCCTGTATTCCACACCAGCAGGCATGTGGCCACTCTGTAAGCAAGCAGATGATGCAGATCCCGAACAAACAGCTTACAGATACATGGTCTTGGTTTTGAAGCCTCTGCCCTGTGGGCTCTTAGGAGATAAAGCTGTAAAACAGGAGTCTCTTGCTTTTTTTTTTTTTTTTCTTTTTATCCACAGCAATCCTAAACTCTTTGGAAAAGAGCTGAAGCATATAATTTTTTATTCACTTATCCTTGCTGAGTGTCATCGTGACTCGATGGAAGCAGGGAGAACAAGGAACTGAAAGAGAATGCCACTTCCTTCCACGGCCATGAGCATTAAACGTGAGCTTTGGAAAATAAAAGCCCTATATTCAGAGCATACAACTCTATTGGGTCTGAATTCAAGCATAAAGAGAGGCTGCTTTTTTGTTCAGTGTGTTTAGAATAAAGTTTTTGGTACCTGCATGGATGTTACAGCCTGGTACCAACGGCTGGAGAGGAAGAATGATGATCCCTTAATCCAGTAGTAGACTCTGGTGGGATTGGAATATATTTGTTCTCTCAGGAATAGTATGAATGAAACACTTGGACTCTACCATTAGGCACCTGAGGCCTTTGTTATGCGGACAAGGTCTTCGCATAAGACCTTGAAAGACCTAAGGGCCTGAGACAACTTCCCTGTTTTGACTTGAGATGTGATCTGTAAGCAGAGAAGTTTATGGTCCTTTCTGCTGAAGAGTTTGGTTCTGTTCTTTCCTCTTCAGCCAAACAAGCCATGTTATGACTGCACTGAGAACATGCAGTCAGTTTGTATATATAATGTTCAAACACATGTCTGTTCTATTGCTACCAAGATTTTATTATAAATGGGAAAACTTTCCTGCAAATGACTAAATTCATACCTGATTTCATACAATGCCAGCAGGGGTCCTTTAAAGGCTGCTCATTATGAGTTTCCTTTCCCTCTGGGCAGTCTCCATTTTCTTAAATTAGCTGATTTTTGCCATTTTTCTCTTGTGCAGTCCTTCCTGGCAGATTTCCTGCTCAGGTTGTCAGGAAGCAGAGCTTAGAAGTCAGGGTCTCCAAAAGAGAACAATGATTTTGGATGCTTTATGTTTGTTTTGGACTTAGACTCAAAATACCTTAAAGAAGCCTGGGGAAAAAGAATGCGCTCCCTCTGTTGTAATTGCATCATCCAGCCCGTGAACTCTTGAGTTGTTATTATTATTAGGGTTAGAGTTCTGCAGTTCCAGCATGAATCCAGGATGTGCAACAGTTGAAAAAGCATCCTGTTACAGCTCCTCAAAGCCAGGGATCAAGCTTTGAAGGGCCAAGAGTCAAATCTTTTGCATTGTGCCCCCAGCAATAACTTGTTACTTCTTGTTAGCCATCATGTATACTTGAAAGAAAAATCAGCATCTGATGGCTGTGAAGTAAACATACCATGCGTTTTTTATGAGAATAGCAAGGACAGACAAGAAGAATCTGACAAACTGGTCTCCCTTGGTTAAGACAAGGTTCTGCTTGGATTCTTGCTCTGGTGTGTACTGTGACACCTTGCAAACAGCCATATTATTTTTACAGGGTGAAAAACAAATGAGAGCAAATTCTGGTTCTGAATAATTATCTTGCCATGGAGATGTCTCTCTGTTCTTGGATGAAATAGTTACAATTTTTTTAAAGAAAAGGTGTCTTCCTAAACCTTCACCCTGAGCACTGGGTCCTTCGCATGTCTCTTCTCTATTCCCTTTCCTTTGGCTTGTGTGTTGTCCAGGGTATATTTCAGCAGGAAAAAATTACATTTGTTCTGAACACAGCATTATGGAGCTTCAAAGTTTCTTTTTTGGGATGAAGAAAACACTAGATGGCAGCATGAAGGTCAGCTTAGTAGTTGCAGTCTCATGCCCAAACATAGCCAGGATACAGCCTTGGAGCCAGTATTTTGCTAGCAAACTTCCATAAACCTGTAGAAGATCTCATTGTGTTTGCATGAGCAAGTCTGTAGTAACAAGACAGACAGATATAAGGGCTCTCAGAAGAGCCACAGATGCCAGTTGAAGGGGCTACCTCCCCTTTAACTTGCCCATGGTATTTCTGTACTTTACTGTCCCTTTTAATCTCAACCTGGTGCAACCTCAACTGAGTTTGAGTGTCACC